CTGTTCCTGAATATGATGACTACCTCCTCACACTCCCTTGCTAGAATGTTCCTCTATAAACCATTTTCATTTTGTTATGGAACTCCTCTGGGCATGGCCTTCCTTATTAGCGGATTTATTCAACATTACCCAATACGTCATGGGTATTTCAGGTTTCAGTATTCTTTTTTTAAAATCTTTTTTAAAATTGTTTTATTGCTTAAAGTATTACAAAAAGTATTACATATGTCTCCTTTTTTCCCCACCCTTGACATCCCCTGGCCTCCCCTACCTCCAGTGTCTTATGTCCATTGGTTATGCTTATATGCATGCATACAAGTCCTTTGGTTGATCTCTTACCCCCCTCCCTCCTGCCCCCCAACCCGCCCCGGCCTTCCCACTGCAGTTTGACAATCTGTTTGAGGCAGCTCTGCCTCTGTATCTATTATTGTTCATAAGTTTATAATGCCAGAAACACCAATCAGAAAGAATATATGCACCCATATGTTCATAGCAGCACAATTCATGATAGCTAAGATCTGGAAACAGCCTAAGTGCCCATCAGTAGATGAATGGATTAGAAAACTGTGGTATATCTACATGATGGAATACCATGCTGCTGTAAAAAAGAAGGAACTCTTATCATTTGCAATGGCATGGATGGAACTGGAGAGCATTATGCTAAGTGAAATAAGCCAGTCAATGAAGGAAAAATACCACATGATCTCGGTATTCTTTTATGTCTTTCAGTCATAGGGGCAGTTTCAATTAAAGCCCAATAGCCACCTAGTTGTCTCTGTAATGGAAATTTTCTGGCCCCAAATCTCAATGGTTGCCACTGAGTGGCGCTCACTGGCTTTTGCCACAAGAAAGGACTCCAAGATCTCTTTCTGCTAGTTTTATAAAGAGAGGCTAGTAATATTAACAGGTATAGACTATGTGTCTCCCAACATCCAAATAAGCCAACCAAACACTGAGCTTCTCACATGTATTTTTTTTTTCCAGTCAGATATCCTATACTTTTCAAATTACAACCTTGGGAAATCTTATTGGTTCTCATTTACCATGTCCTGTTTTATAGTACTAGGTCAGGAAATGTGTCCCAGTTAGACACAGTCTCTATTTACATTCAAATTCACTTCACATAATATCTGTTCAATCTCTCACCCTAATCCCACCAATGCCTGCATTCCCATGTCACCCCAATCTAATGATAACTCCCACTGGGACTCACCAACAGATTTTAGAATCAGGGGATTCCCACCTCAGGAATATCTCTTCTCATGACCACTTTACCACTAATGTGCATATCGCTTTGAGGCCCCAGAGCAGGGTGGGCCAAGGAACCCAGGCCCTCTTATCAATCTGTATTTTGGATTAAATGAGACTACCACCTCATGCAATTTGATTTTTAGAGAGGGAAAAATGTGATTTTTTTCACACTGTCACATCACTTCTTAAGTTTGGCTTTTTAAATTCCCTCCAAATGAGGGTCAATAGTGCATACTAGACTAGGGGCCTTGATGCTGGCGTTTCTGCTGGCCTATCCAAACTCTGAGAGTGCTGCATTGAGACCTTTGTTTTGACTCCATCAATGTTCACTTCATCCCATTTCTTTTTATTATTTTTTAAAATATATTTTATTGATTTTTTACAGAGAGGAGGAGAGAGGGATAGAGAGTTAGAAACATCGATGAGAGAGAAACATCGATCAGCTGCCTCCTGCACACTCCCTACTGGGGATATGCCCGCAACCAAGGTACATGCCTTTGACCGGAATTGAACCTGAGACCCTTCAGTCCGCAGGCCGACGCTCTATCCACTGAGCCAAACTGGTTAGGGCCATTCCATTTCTTAATAACTATTTATACAAATTTCCTTCCTGTTGATTTTTTAAAACTTAGTAAGGAAGTTCTTTTTTTTGAACTTTATTTTTATTGTTGACACCCCTTCATCTTTTTTCATTCTCTTGTGAATTGCTCTAATTTCCTTTGCTATCTGTTGTTTCAATATAACATTTTCCTATAGTAGGCCAGCAGCTGTAGCTCAAACTGGACAGAACCTGGGACTGGCCCAGTTTCAGGATCCACCCCAATCCTTTCCTTTCCTTTCCTTTCCTTTCCTTTTAGTTATCATGTATAAAATTAACCAAGGGATTGTGTATTCAGCTCCTTTCCTGTTATTCTGTACTTCCTCATGCTTCTTGGGGATTGGATCCATAATTTTATAGAAATTATTGGTAACTTTCACCTCCTGTTACTGATTGCAGAACAGCTGTATTCTCATACCTGTGGGTGACCTCGGGACCACTCAGGAATCAAAGGTTCAATATCCCCTGACCTCACATCCTTCCTCTTCCCAAACCACGTTTCAGTGAGCCAGGTTTGTTCTCCAGAATCTCACTTCCGATGCCAACTACGAAGTTAGGGACCAGCCCAACAAGATGCCTTCACTTCAGCCCCCAGCTGCAGATTCCAGAGGGTCTCTACAACCACCCTCATTTCTGATACTGACTTCAAGCTTTAAAGCCTCCAAGGCTATGCTTAGGTTCAATAATTCACTAAAAGTACCCACAGAATTCACCAAAAGCTGTTATACTCGTGGTCGCAGTTTATTACAACCAAAGGATATGGATTCAAATCTGTTAAGGGAGCCCTAGCTGGTTTGGCTCAGTGGATACAGCGTTGACCTGTGGACTGAAGGGTCCCGGTTTTGATTCCAGTCAAGGGCATGTACCTTGGTTGCAGGCTCCTCCCTAGCCCAGGCCCTGGTCAGGGTGCGTGCTGGAGGCAACCAATCGATGTTTCTCTCACATCGATATTTGTCTTTCCTTGTCTAAAAATCAATGGAAAAATATCCTCAGGTGAGGATTTAAAAAAAACACAGAGGGCAGAGTCCAGGAAAGCTCCAACCTGAGAGCTTCCAGCTGTCCTCTCCCTATGGAGTCATGGGGAGTGTCACTCAAATATCCAGGGAATGATGTGTGACAATGTGCACAGAGAAGGACAACCAGAGAAGCTCACCCAAGCCTCATGTCCAGAGTTTTTATTAGCCCTTCGTCTTGTGGGCGTGGCTGAGGCCCCCATGGCTGATCCTAGTCTCCAGCTCCTTTTGAAGTTGAGCTGATGGCAGGTGATCCAAAGACCCCACTTTAAATCACATTGTGAAACCATCTGGGGTGGCCAGCCCCTGCCCTTAATCACATTTTTAGACTGTTCAGTGGGATGCAAGGCCCACAGGCAAACAGATACTCCTATCAGGCATGACATTCTAAGGATTCAGAATGACCTCCCAGGAGCCAAGGGCAA